ACACCAAAATTCAGCTTTCTATCTCAAACCGTTGGGTTATTTCAGCCAAAAAACACTTAAGGGGGGACCCTGGTGAAACTTTCAAGTAGGCTTCAAAATAATCCCAGGAAGTTGAAACTTTGCTTAATTATTAGGTTCATTTTGGTGAGTTCCCAAACAAAATTCAATTCAAAATGTTGAACGGTCTCTGAGAAAAGTGGCTTTTTAGTGTTTTTTGGAGCGTTGGGGAAAAATCTTCCTGCGTCTTTCATTGGGACGGAAAGTCTTGAAAATTTCTTTGGGTTATCCTAAAGATGTATAGAAGAGATTTTAGTGACGGAATTTTCAAATTCAACTTCTGTTCTGAGATATGAGTTTTCAAATTTTAACATTAAAAAAAAGTGACTTTTCTCCGTTCAAACTTTTACGTGTGTTTAAAAAAAGTAGGGCTGATATCAAGATTCCGTCACTAAAATTTGTCGACAAGTCATCAATGAATAGTGTCCACGCAAGACGACTCATGTAGGTGTCAACCAGGAACGCAGGAAGTCTTTCTACGAAATTTTTTTTGTCGACTGAGCAAAGCTGTGGAAGTTAAGCATAGAAGCCAACGACAACTGATCTTAATGATATTTCCTTCCAAATGATAAAGAAACTACCCACTTAGCTTAAAGGTGTTCAACCTGTTGAGCCTGAAAGCTTCTATGCACATTTTGATCTATGAGCTTTGAAAATACAATTTATTGGAATTTTGGCGGTTTTTTCACCAGGGTCCCCCCTTAAACACGGCTGAAAAAAGACAAATTTTTAAGCACTTTCAACTTTTTGTTAAGTTTCATGTCGTTTCCTACGTTTTTATGGCTGCTGATGACGAAAATAGAACCCATTTGGACCCCCGACCCAAAGTTAGGTCCCACTGGTGTAGATTTTCATCACCAAATGCCATTTTTTGAGGGGATCACGCCCATTTTCACGGTTTGCCTAGGAAAGCCGCCTGCCGAAGGCAGCCTAGCGCCGCAGGCCAAGGTAAGGGAAGGTGGGGTACCATGTGACACGGCCACCATGTGACATTGGCTTTTTCTCCCAAACGGCTCGCTATCCAACAGCGGTAAGAAGACTCAAAGGAAGGTAATCAAGAAGGGGCATCGACGTCGAACAGGCCGTGACTGTGCGTCGAACAGGGCGGAAAGTAGAGACACGAGAAATTTTTACCCCCCCCAAAACAGGTAATTGGAATTTTTTTCTATTTCACGCCGCGTCCGCTTTTCACCTTTTAAACACACTTTAACGGCCTATGCCTTGCAGGATGTTCTCCTTTGATGTTTTAAGCGTAAAATAAGCTTGGGCTCGCTTCTCTATCGCAAGGGATAAGGGCGCAGTTGTCAATTCCTCGAAAGCCACCCCTTCGGTCACGATGTGACACTCGATGTGGGGCACGATGTGACACCTTCTCTAATCCGCGATTTTCCTGTTTTCCCCAATAAGTCCTGCTTTTGTGTCTTGTAGGCGTGGGATATTACACTAACCCTTGTGTGAATGTGTTTGAGAGAGGTTAGGGGTGGCTGGGCGTCTCTGGGGGCTCGAAGGCAAAGCCTAGCGCCGCCTGGTGGCCAGGTTTGGAACTACAAAGGAGTTGGCCTCTGCAGACGACACCCATGGCCGGGCGCGGGCCGGGCCGACCTGCAGACGGTACACTGAGAATGAATGGGTCACCACCATCACCCATTAAATGGGTGATGCAACTTCGTTGCCCAATATTAGGTGACGAAAAAATCATCACCCGAAATTTGGTAACAGGCGTTCGGTCGCCCAAATTTGGGTAACGCCGTCGACGACGCCGTGAGGTCCCCGATGACGTCCTTCCGGGGCCAGCACGATGACCGAAGGCCTCAACGCCACATTGGATCATCGTGGTGGCCTCGGAAGAACGTCATCGGGGACGTCACGGCGTCGTCGACGGCGTTACCCAAATTGGGGTGACGATTTTATGACTGCCCAAAATTTGGTCACCGCTGGCTCGTCACCCAAATTTGGGCGACGATGCGTGCGACAAAAATAAGTTGATTTTATAAAATAAATTGTATTTTGATTAACATAGATGTGTTTCCTTGCTTTCCTAACCATTTTTGAAATACATCTACGAATATTTCCATTGAAAAACAGCAATTTTTACACATTAGTCTGAGGTGTCACATGGTGCCCAGGGGCTGTCACATGGTGAACTCAGTGGTACACCATGTGACATTTTACATGCACCCAATCAAACTGGGATACCTTCGCAACCAATCGAGGTAAAATGAAAAGCTCAACGGGACTTTGAAGCTAAGGGACCCCTCTTTGTCGGCACGAGCAGTATGGATCCGTACAATTGTTAGTTTCGTGTTGGCGGGCATCCGCCTAAAAGTGTCACATGGTACCCCACCTTCCCTTAGGTGTTAACGCCAGGCGTGGATTGTCGAAACGGGCGCAGCTTCGCGAAGCCTGTTACAAGACACGGTCTGGCGTACACCTAACTTGGTAATAGCACGACACGTGAGCCTATGAACGGGGCTTCCTGCGTGAAGCGTCACAAGGTGTTGTCTTACCATGAAAGGAAGACTGGTGATGTGGGCCTGGTGGGGTCCCTAATTATTCTATAAATCAAACACTTACAGATACGACTAAACTCACTACTCTTTATTCTTAATTTACTCACTCACACAGCATAACTGACACTAATACTTAACTCCTCTACTACTTAAATCTAAGATGCGCTACCCTAATTCCCTAATCTAAACAGGTGACCAACCCACAGTTTTCCTCACTCACTCACCTCGCAGATGATAGCAAAACAGAAGCTGAGAGCTGTTCGGTCGCGGTGCGCTTCCCCAATCACATACAATCACTTAATCTACTCGTTAAAATCACACACAAAACTTCACACGCGCCCCCGTACTTCCACACCGGTCGTCACCCTCTTCTCGTCTAGCTCCCTCTCCCTTCCTCCTTCCCCTTTCTCCCCCCCCCCCCTTCCCCGGCTCCACAGGCCTCGTCGCTCCACGGGTCCCCGGCCTCGCGACTCCGCGGCTACACGTCACCGCTTCCCCCGCTCATGCCTCCGCGGAGCCGCCGCCGCGGGCAGATCTTCTGCCCCTACCCCAGTTCACGCGCGCTCCCCCCTCCTCCTCGCAATTCCTGGGCCTAGGGCAGTTCTGCCCCGCACAACACTGGCACGAGCAATTTATCAAGGAACGCAGAGAATTGCATCAAGGAAAGGATCTCTGTTTGGTTTTAAGTGGACCCTCCAAAAGAAGCAAAGAATGACTTCACTGTAGCATGCGCCAATTTTTGTGCCATGGGCCTCAGGCCTCCTAACACCTTCAATGACGAGGGTATGCTGCAACTTCTCGAAAAGCTTCTCGACATCGCCAGGCGGGGCAGATTGGACGCCCTGAAGCTGACTCCGTGTCCAACAACAACCGGCGCCGGCCCTCACTGCAGGAAATAACCACAACAAAAGTACACAAATTTCTGGCAAATTTTTTATCAGGAATTTAGTGTACTTTTCAAGTACAACAATTGTTGTCGAAAGTACAATGGAACCGGCATGACGAGTGCTGTGCAGGCCAGGGCTCGTTGTGGTTTGTACAATTCTCGTTGTACATTCTACAATTTTTGTTGTACTTTCATTGTACAGTTTTTGTCGTACTTTTGTTGTACTATCCACACTTTTTCTTGCAGTGCTGCTCCAGCTCCTGCTCGTGGCCCGGGAAACCGGAAGGCAAAGTACGCCGCCGAGAAGAAGGAACTGGTCGCCGCGAAGATAAACAGTGGCGAGTACAGCCTCATGTCGGTAGGTGAGGGTAACCCTATACAAAGCCCGGCGTGGAAGAAGTTCGCGCGGGTGCTGGATGCGAAGGTTAATATGTCAACAAGTGGAAGGGGCAACATGGCTGAACAAAAAAGTGAAGTGCCACTGCGAGAAAAAAACTACAGAGAATCCTGTTAATTTTTTCACAGCGTCGCTCTGCACCCACAACTACAGTGATCTCTGTCTTTTAAAAGACGGAGCTCACTGTTGTTTTTTGGGTTCATCTCTCTGTTGTCCGAGCGGCCAATGCCATATCGGGACGGCATGGCCAAAGCCTTAAAGGTCACCGTTGGGACGTCGACGGGCACCTCACAGGGTCCCCGATGACGATGCGAGCATTTTAGACCTAGGTTCCGACCATTCGTTGAAAAGGTCTGGTCAAGATCTACTCGAATCAAGAATAAAAAAAATTTCTTGGTCAACCCTCTTTTTCAAGATCCTGATTGGTCAACTGGATCTTGAAAAAAGGGGGTTGACCAAGAATTTTTTTTTATTCTTGATTCGAGTAGATCTTGACCAGACCTTTTCAACGAATGGTCAGAACCTAGGTCTAAAATGCTCGCATCGTCATCGGGGACCCTGTGAGGTGCCCGGCGACGCCCTCGGGGACCCAACGGTGACCTATAAGGCTTTGGCCATGCCGTCCCGATGTGGCATTGGCCGCTCGGACAACAGAGAGATGAACCCAAAAAACAACAGTGAGCTCCGTCTTTTAAAAGACAGAGATCACTGTAGTTGTGGGTACAGAGCGACGCTGTGAAAAAATTAACAGGATTCTCTGTAGTTTTTTCTCGCAGTGTACAACATGCTTGTAATATAACAAGACGTGTTGCTATCAAACTTAACAGCATAAGTGCTGTTAATTTACAACACTTTCTTAAACAGTGTAGTAAACCGAGGTGGGCAGCAGCATGCGGATGACCTCCATGCGGATGACTGCTCGTACCCCCCCCCCCCCCCCCCTGTTATCCCACTGTTAAAAATCCACTCTGATATTACAACACAATCACCTACAGCTGTTGAATAACAATTGTACTGCTTTTGGTCTGAACGGGAAACGCATCCGGAAACAACACGTTTGTTTTATAACAACTGCGTTATCAATTAATAATGTAATCGTGATTCCAAACAGTTGTGTTGTCGTTGAACAGGTTTTCTGTTAAGAAACAGATTTAGTGGAATCTTAAAACATATATTGTTGTCCAGTTACGAGGGTCTTGTTTATTAACAGCACGATGAGATCAACACAAATGTTGCAAAGACATCATCGAAGACTCTTAAGAAGTATTGTTTCATTACAATCGAATTATCAGGAAACAGCACCGAGAACTACAACATGCTTGTAGTAAAACAAGACGTGTTGCTATCAAACTGAACAGCATAAGTGCTGTTAATTTACAACATTTTTGTTAACAGTGCTCTTTGTTTTGTGGATGATCGAATACAAATGACTCTGTAGTAAAGAATTTGCAAAGAAAAATGACTGCAATGGAGGCCCGCCTTGGATAGTTTTTGACCACTTAAAATAAAAAACACTGACTGCGGCGGACAGTGCAAAACTGGTTTTATATTGAATACAAGTAAAGGGACATTAAGAACTACAGAAACCGAGACAGAAACGAACTGCAGATAAACCACATCAGTTTCAACAACAGTTGAACTACACTGAGATTCCAAACGCTATGAGTATAGCACGTATGGTGCAATGCAGCTGAGATATCGCAGCATATGTGCAATGCGCCAGTCATATTGCACCTTACGTGCAATGCATCCCGAAAGTGCCCTATGCACTGTGAAAATTTGTTGTCACTTTATGACTAAAACGTGGATGACATGTTCATCACTTTGAAATGACGACAATCTCGTCACAAATTGATGACATTCAAAGCTCCTATACTTATTGCATGGGCGTGACAGCAATGTCATCAATTGACTTGATGACATCCTTGTAAGGAAAATTAGCCTTGAAATTGTCATCAAGTGACGACTCAAATTTTCACAGTGTGCTAATGCATGGGAATGGGGAGGCATTGCACTTTATGTGCAATGCTTTTGCATTGCACCAATTGACGCTATACTCTCATAGCGTTTGGATTCTCAGTGTACTGATCCTTCCACGCGGGTGATGGGCTAGCTCGGAGGCCAGACCACGCTCTCAATCCACGGCATGTATATCGAGACTCTAGTGAAGACGGAAGGAGAGTTCCTCAAGCCGCAACTCGACCCAACAGAGGCGACGCCCACGACGTGATGCATGCAATAGGGCTTCTCACTTCTGAAGAATGCCAGCGGAGAGCCGGAGTCCATCTGCAGACCACGAAGTCATAAGAATGTTTAACAGGTGACTTTACACCAAAAACAGGCTTTTCGTATTAAAGTCTCTAAATCTAAACAACTAACGATATAAGTAACATAAATTCAGACGATACGAAAATCATATCAAGCTCTGAAACTGTGAGGGTCATTACTTTGGTGTTACTGTAAAATCAACATCCTGGTCCTTTCTGTTTAAATACTTTTATACTAGGGGTACGCGCCGTTTTGTTTGGGCGCGTAGTAGGCGAGCGATGCGTCTGTATTCTTGTAGAAGATGGTGAAGAATATATGCAAAGTAAGGCCAATACAGGGTCAATGTGAAACTCAATTTTAAAAGTTTGGTCACAAATTGGTAAATTTTGGGGAAAGTAAAGTTCTGGGATGAAATTGGAAGTCATTTTCGTGATCAGCACACCAAAAACTGCAGGAAACTATGTAAAACTCGATGTAAAAATTTTGGTCCGAAATTGGTAAATATTTGGAAAAGTAAAGGTCTGAGATGAAAATGGAAGTCATTTTCGTGATCAGCGCACCAAAAACTGCAGGAAACTATGTAAAACTCGATGTAAAAATTTTGGTCCGAAATTGGTAAATATTTGGAAAAGTAAAGGTCTGAGATGAAATTGGAAGTCATTTTCGTGATCAGCACACCGAAAACTGCAGGAAACTATGTAAAGCTCAATGTAAAAATTTTGGTCCGAAATTGGTAAATATTTGGAAAAGTAAAGGTCTGAGATGAAATTGGAAGTCATTTTCGTGATCAGCACACCAAAAACTGCAGGAAACTATGTAAAACTCGATGTAAAAATTTTGGTCCAAAATTGGTAAATATTTGGAAAAGTAAAGGTCTGGGATGACATTGGAAGTCATTTTTGTGATCAGCACACCAAATACTGCAGAAAGCAATGAAACACCGAGGAAATTTTGGTCGCAAATCATGTAATTCTAGTTGAAAGTATGGGTCTTCAGTTGTTAGGTTTCTTAAGAGCGTTTCCTGTTCATAGTGTCATGCCACGAACCCTGACCCTGTTACTCAGTCGAGTAACATTTAACAGCCAGCATTGACTTGCTTAAGGGGGCTCATACATGTTAAAAGCACTTTTAAAAAAAATTTTTTTGATGTAGACGGATTAAGATTTTACAATTTCTGTGTTAAAATCCTTTTAGATAATTGAGTAAGCTTCATTTTGGCTTAAAGGAAAGTGACTTTGGACATTTTTTGGAGATTTAGTCGAAACGTTTAAAATTTTGCTTCTCGTAAGATTTTGTTCGCATACTTGCTCAGATCTGTGGGGAAAAAATCAGGGAGACTCATCCCCAGTAGTGTCATAGAATTGACTAGAATGGGCTTTATATCTGCAATAGTTTTCAAGAAAAAAAATAAAAACAATTTTTTTAACAATTTTTTAAACAAATTTTTCAACAAAAAATTGTTTTTATTTTTTTTCTTGAAAACTATTGCAGATATAAAGCCCATTCTAGTCAATTCTATGACACTACTGGGGGTGAGTCTCCCTGATTTTTTCCCCACAGATCTGAGCAAGTATGCGAACAAAATCTTACGAGAAGCAAAATTTTAAACGTTTCGACTTAATTTCCAAAAAATGTCCAAAGTCACTTTCCCTTAAGCCAAAATGAAGCTTACTCAATTATCTAAAAGGATTTTAACACAGAAATTGTAAAATCTTAATCCGTCTACATCAACATTTTTTTTTAAAAAAAGTGCTTTTAACATGTATGAGCCCCGTTAATACGATTCACAAATACTTCAATTACCATTCGATATCTCCTTGTTACTGAACTTATGAATACGCAATGTTATTAGTAATACCTAAATAGCCTTTCTCCCTTTTAGTTTAAACTAGTGGATTTAACTATATTGATTTATCTGCATTAATTAAAAAGAGACATATTTACAGGCAGGCTGATTTCAACTACTTTACGGAGAAGACCTTCTGTCAGATCCAATGAATCGTGTCATAGAATCCAATGTCGAGGCCACTTATTGCTAAATGCAAGTTTATCTTATTGATAATGATAGTCATGGTGTGTTATTTAATCTTTGAAACAGTTTAGCAAAAGTATTTACCTAACATTCTGAGTAAATTAAAAAAAAAAGCAAACTCAAACCATGACCAACACAAATTACCAGTTGTCGCTGACAATGTATGATTAAGTTAAAAGAATCGTCTCATGAAATCATATGACCAAGTCAGTGAATCGTCTCATTGAATCTGAAGTCAATGTCAAACCTTGAATGCGCTACACTCACTCATCATATGGTTTTCTTTAAGGTTAGTACTATAGTAAACTCACAGCATTGCAATGAAGCCTTTTCCCAGAATCAGTGCCAAGAGTCAGCAAAGACCATTTATTTTGGCAAGATTAGCATCTGGTTTGTACTCATAGAATGTATTAATATATTTTCTAACTGTTATTGAGCAAAGCAAACAACTGAAAAATATAGTGTCTGAGAATATAAATGGAAATACACTCACAAAGGTTAAAAAGACCAAATCATTCTTGCAATTATCAAACACACTCCACTGACTAAAACATTTCCCCTGTAGTGGGGGAGGGGAGAGGGTGGACGGACGGACGAAACGCGTAATAATTGTCACTTTCATTTTCCGTATTTCACTGAGTTGACTCTCCGGAGGGGTTTCAATCATTCTAAAATATCGAAAAACTATGACCGTACTCACTTCTAAGCCCTTCTGCTCTTTAGTTTGTTTTATTTGCCAATGTTTTGACAGGTCCCGTATTTAAGAGTCGCGGCCGCAAGTATGAAAAATTGCTACGAGCTTCCAAGCACTGCCAACCTAACCACGCTAAGAACCTAATTCAAAAAGATGTTTTGAATATTTCAAACAATAGTAATCGTGGATATAAGATAAACTCCCCCTGGGGGAGATTTAGGAGCCTTCCGGTGCGAAATTTTGAAACTATTTGTGCGGTAGTTGCTGAGAAACGTGAGTGAGTTACGGACACACAGACAGACAGACGCACGACCAGTCACTTTTTGGTACCCCCAAACACGGCATGGGCTCGCTATCGCTCGCCAATTAAGGGAGAGTGGGGTGATTCCGGACGCTTTTTTTCTTTTTTGGTCTTTGAGCTTGAATATGCTTTTTGGATCAAATGTTATTACAGGAGATTAAAGTACGGACCTTTACCTTCAAAATGATATACATGAAAGCCAAATCTCAGCAACGGTTAGGGAGATATAGGCGCCCAACAACAGCCCTGCACGTGTCCGGAATTACCCCAGGCTGGGGTAATTCCGGACGACCTATGGGGCAATTCCGGACGACCTTAAAATTTGACACTACTCGAGATTACTTTCGCTTGTTTTGATGTGAGGCATGCTTTTAGAAGGCGTACAAGGACATTTGCTGCAAACTGAAGTGCTTGATTATTACTCGAAGCATATTATAAGGAATAGTTTCTATAAAAAAAACCCTAAATTGACAACACTGTATTGAGTAAAGCTCTTAAACATAGCTGCAATGCTATTTTTCGTTCTTTTTTTATCCTTCTTAACGGTGGGGATGCATGTCCACAATTTTGAACCCATAACATTTAACATTATGCGGGAAATTGAAGAAAATAACCCTTCTTGTCCGGATTTACCCCACAGGTAGTGAAAACCTTTGATGTTCAATTGTAAGGAAACGGCGAGCCATACGACTTCTCCCGAAACGCCAAAGTAAAGTCCAATGACCATATAATATGGCAAAATTTTAGTCATGGGACTGAACTTGACGGTAAGGTACGATTACATGGAAATACGAGGTAAAGATGCAGCTTTTGCCTGTTTTTGATGGTACTCAAATTTCGTGAAGCGACCACAGCCAAACGGTTTGACCTCCTACCTTGGCGATATGGAATTATCATTTTTAACTGATTATCTTCCTCTGTTAGGCGGGCTTTTGAGTTATCTTCACTCGAACCCAGTGAAAATCGAAGTGTCCGGAATTACCCCGTGTTCGGAAGTACCCTACTCCCACTCTCCCTTACTCGCGATCGAATTTTGGCAAATGTGATTATCTGGGGCAGATACAAATGAAAAAAGATCGTGATGAAATTCACACAAACTTGAAGATGAAAGATCAAAGGAGCCAGTGCTCGAAGAAAAATATCTCTCTTATCCGTATCAACACGGCAAAAGTAGCGCCTGGGATTCCCAGGCGCGATTCGCATTTTCCAGGCGCGGCGCGCTTTTTCCAGGCGCCAGTCTTTTCCCGACATATGATTCCCAGGTGGGGCCTGGAAGTTGTGAGGCATTTCCAGGCCGCGCCTGGGAAGACTGTGGCCAGCGGCCAATTTCCAGGCCGCGCCTGGGAATTATGTATCCGGAAAAATCCGTATGTATCCGGCGCCTGGAAAAAGCGCGCCGCGCTTGGAAAAATGACTCAAAACCAGACAATGTCTGGAACTAAAGGCCTTGACGCCGAGGTCCATGGCCAGGTGTCCAGGATTTGCGACCTGAGGGTCCCCGATGGTGTCCTCGAGGTCCCCAGGACACGGGGAGTCCAACGCCGAGGTCGCCGACGCTCTAGGACAAGCGGTTCCGGAGATACGAGGACGTACCACAAGGAGTCCGTCAAAGCAACTTTTTAGTCGGAGGCCAAAATCATCTTCGGCCTCTGGCTGCGTTCCACTTGGGTGTCCGGGACTTTTGAATTAAGCATCGTGTTGAGGTGGTGCTAGACTACCAGGAATCCGTCAGCGGTCGTCGTCGGACCTCCGGTGCGCCCAGGATACCGACGAACGGGGGTGCCGTGCCGCCATACGGTTCAACAACGTTGACGCCACGACTCAGGTGGTCCCTGATGGTGTTCTCGAGGTCTTTAGGACACGGGGAGTCCAACGCCGTGGTCACCGACGCTCTAGGACAACCGGTTCCGGAGTTGCGAGGACGTACCATAAGGAGTCCGTCAAAGCAACTTTTTAGTCGGAGGCCAAAATCATCTCCGGCCTCTGGCTCCGTTCCATTTGGGTGTCCGGGACTTTTGTCCTCAGCATCGTGTTAAGGAAGTGCTAGACTACCTGGAACCCGTCAGGGGTAGTCGTCGGACCACCGGTGCGCCAAGGATGCCGACGATGGCGGCACGGCACCCTCGTTCGTCGGCATCCTGGGCGTACCGGAGGTCCGACGACGACCGCTGACGGGTTCTTGGTAGTCTAGCTCTTCCTCAACACGATGCTGAAGACAAAAGTCCCGGACACCCAAATGTAACGGAGCCAGAGGCCGGAGATGATTTTGGCCTCCGACTAAAAAGTTGCTTTGACGGACTCCTTGTGGTACGTCCTCGTATCTCCGGAACCGCTTGTCTTAGAGCGTCGGCGACCTCGGCGTTGGACTCCCCGTGTCCTGGGGACCTCGAGGACACCATCGGGGACCCCCAGGTCGCAAATCCTGGACACCTGGTCATGGACCTCGGCGTCAAGGCCTTTAGTTCCAGACATTGTCTGGTTTTGAGTCATTTTTCCAAGCGCGGCGCGCTTTTTCCAGGCGCCAGTCTTTTCCGGATACATAATTCCCAGGCGCGGCCTGGAAATTGGCCGCTGGCCACAGTCTTACCCAGGCGCGGCCTGGAAATGCGTCGCAACTTCCAGGCCCCGCCTGGGAATCGTATGTCGGGAAAAGACTGGCGCCTGGAAAAAGCGCGCCGCGCCTGGAAAATGCGAATAGCGCCTGGAAATCCCAGGCGCCACTTTTGCCGTGAAATGATCGAAGTTAGCGAAATTCGCATGCGCCCAACCCTGAAAACGGTCATACACAAATGGAAAGGTCAGAATTTTGACCTCTAAGGGGTCATACTAAAATGTACGACTGAATTGGTCAGATGTCTCCCTCTTGAATTCCAGCAATTCAGTGAAGATAAGATTCATTCTACGGAAACGACCGGAGAAGATCTGTTGAATAGGCCCCCTGCAAGCAACGGCTGGAAATCTGAATTCGCAACCAGATTGTCAAGATAGTGACCTCACTTAAGTCGAGGTCCCCCAGCCGGCGTGAAACACATGCCGGGAGTGGTGTTGGCGGCCCTTGCCGAGAGGGGCGAGCATTATTTCATCCTCTGGCAGAGGTACGTGTACTCCACAAGCATACTTTTCATTGGCAACTACACTATAAGTGTTCTTTGTTTTTTGTTTTTTTTTTTCTCGTCCTTTCTGTGAATTAGTACCTGACAGATATCTCTTCCGCCGGTGAGATTGCCCGCGCACACGTGCGCTTCCGCTAAGACGCCCCGAGGAAATATGTTCCTATGAAACTTGTAGGAAGTTTGGCAAACGTTGTTTGGCAGAATGCCAAGTCGTACTTTCTGCAAGATGCTACTCGGGTCACCCCCACCTCCTGAAACAAAGGATACAGCTTGTGAAGATTTTATCCTTTTAGCAGGCTAAAAGAAAACACGGTCGTCATAGTGAATTTCCATCACCCTGAGACCCTCCTGAATGGTCAACACAACGAAGATAGGGTTGAGCAGTTTGAAACAGAATTTGTAATTTCGTAATTATAATCGTACTGTTATATATGCAGCTTGTTTCTACTTGATTAATAGTCTGACTCACTATCTGAACTAGAAAACGCCCGCAGAGACGCTAGAGAACCCAGCGAAACACACATGTGTGCTTTGGCAAAGTGCCATGGCGGGGATGACTAGCTCGCTCCTTCTTCAGCGCTACAGCACCCCCCTTCTTCTCAAGGAAAGGTTAGGCGAGTTTACCCCTCTAAAATTCAATTCTTTTTATTCCCTTTGATAATTTTCTAAGTTGACCAGTTTTAGTCAATTAATTTTAGTCAACCGTTTTGAATCGATTATTTTTCGTCCATCATTTTTAGTCGGACTACACTGAGAATCCAAACGCTATGATGAGTATAGCGTCAATTGGTGCAATTGAAAAGCATTGCACATAAAGTGCAATGCCTCCCCATTCCCATGCATTAGCATAGGGCACTTTCGGGATGCATTGCACGTAAGGTGCAATATGGCTGGCGCATTGCACGTATGCTGCGATATCTCAGCTGCATTGCACCACACGTGCTTTACTCATAGCGTTTGGAATCTCGGTGTATTTTTAGTTATTAAAAATATTGATAGGACAAGTGGAGCCACCGGATTCTTTCGTTCTCTTCATAGTACCTTCCGAACGTTGCAGATGGCTTACTCACCTCTTGTAGTATCGCCCCAGCCAGTTACGACGAACGCATCGTTATTTGCCTCCAGTGTGGGATCCGGAAAGACGCAAGCAGGGCGTACAAACCGAGTCATTTCAGCTTCCGTCTTGAGTTGCAGCAATGCGATATCGTGGTAAAGTTCTTCTCGATCGAGCCCGCTGGGAGGTGTAAATCGTCCGGACACTTCCAGAAGCTGCGGCTCTGCTTCGTCCTCTGTCGACAATCTGTCCAGGTCTCCAAGGAGAACCCACCGCACGTGTTGAGATCTGCACTTGACAACAGAAGGAAGTAACGAAAGTCTGTTACTTGAAAGAGAACATCGCGAGGTGAGGTGCCCTTCAATTTCAAGGTAGTGCGCTTTGTGAAATAATTAAGGGATTTGACCAAACTTTTAACGTATGCACGTATTTGCACTACGGATAGTTTCGAGCAGACGTACATACGGATTGAAAAATATTTCTTCGTACGTTAGGTCACTCAAACAATTGTAATATTCTCAGTAATCCTAAAATTTTGAATATCCAGGGGGTTTAGTTAAGAACTTAGGCCTTCGTTGTCTAAACACTCTCATCCCAGGAACGTGACATCACGTTGAAACGAACGTGACAAAATTTCACGTTCGTTTGAGCATTGTGTCTCATTCGTTTGGGTGTGAATTGGTCAAAAACCAGCTTGTTCACATTCAAACGAATGTGACACAATGCTCAAAGGAACGTGACACGTCACGTTCGTTTCAACGTGATGTCACGTTCGTTTCAACGTGATGTCACGTTCGTTTCAACGTGATGTCACGTTCCAGACATGAGAGTGACGTCGGAATTCCGACCTTCCAGGCTGAATACTTATTCTGAGAATTCAGACCAGACCCCGAGGGTTTCCTGAAATGAAGTTCCCAAACAGGAAATCAGGTATTTATTTGAACGTCTGGAGTTACACTAAATACCCATGACTTTGCTCAGTATTTTTTAAGATATGTGTCCTTCTTCGGTAAGTGTGGTAAGTGTGGAGTTGGGGCTCGTCTAATTACTTCCAGCGACGAACGGTTTTCGTCCTTAAATAATGATTTGCCGTACATAGAAGTACGGTCTGGCATCGGAGTTGCCCTGCGCCCGCTGAAAAGAAAAACAACTCTTAATCTGGACTCACTGGAACACCAAGCAGTGTGCAGCTGTCATCACGAAGTTGGGTGCGATAAGAGAACCACCGCAGTGGTAGTTGATGTTTTCCTGGTCAGCGCCAACCCCAAGCAGGGCCTGGATTCAATCGATATGATGGTTTTCGTCACGGTGCGTTGGCATTCGAATAATTTTTCATTACTCTGCACTGCACACCTGGTAAAGACCGGGGAAGACTTTACCAGAGGTGTGCAAAATTATAAAATAATATTCTAATGCCAATACACTGCACGGTTTTCCGGTGGACGGATATCTAATGAAATAAAGACCGGTAAAGTTCAACAGAAATTTGAGCGTTTCAAATTGATTGCTGAAGGGAAAGCAAGGGAAAAGGTCCAGTTTCGTCGGTTGGGGCAAAGACCCTTTTCACTTGGCAAAACTGGAGCGTAGATGTAAGTTACGCCTCATGCAAGCATACAAGTATGGGAATCCCAGGGGCTAGATTTACCGTGTGCACGCTTCAAACCTTACGAAGCATTTTGAGCATACATAAACAAACTTATTTACTTTGTTATACGAAGAAAAATGGTTCGTAAATTGCGAAGTATTTTCTTTGTTACCTTATATGTATGCCCAAATTACTTTGTTGTAACAAGCTGCTTTTCTTTGGAAGATTTAAAATAGTTTGTAAGGTTTTCTCAGATTATTTGACAGTCTTCAAGCTGACACTCACCATGTGGGGATATTCTCCCGCAATCACAGGTTCTCCTCCCACAACAAGAGGCACAAGAGGAACTACACAGTTATTTGTGAGGACTTGGTCAGCATCTGTTAAAACTTGGGCTTCTTCGTATCTGCAAACGTACTGCGAGTACTCCTCGCACTCTAGGAAAGAAGGACAAACAAAAAAGTAGCTTCGCACACGCGCATTACAAAGTTTAGGGTTACTTACTAACCGGAAAAATAAAAGAATATTGTGATATATTTTTTTAAATAACTATGGCATAATGGCTGTATTTTGGTTTCTAGTTGTTAACTGATGCACCCACACCGAAATTCAAAGGGTGAGACTTCACTCTCGTTCCAGGAACGTGACATCACGTTGAAACGAACGTGACAAAATGTGACGTTCGTTTGAGCATCGTGTCACATTCGTATGAATGTGAACGAGCTGATTTCTGGCCAATTCACATCCGAACGAATGTGACAGGATGCTCAAACGAATGTGACATTTTGTCACGTTCGTTTCAACGTGATGTCACGTTCCTGGAATGAAAGTGTTGTGACCAATTTTCGGTGATACTAAAAGTATGACCGATAAACGGTCACACACAAAGTTTAGCCTTAGAAGTGGACACTTTTGGCCCATACAGAAGGCCATTTTCACAGCCAGGTTTTGGCCGAGCGGCACCAAATTTTTAATTGATAACCTAAATTTAAAACAGACCTAAAGCAGTGCCTCCTTTTACCTGTGTCCTGACGTATATAATCAACATACATCAACATTCATGTAGCAGGAAATTAAATACAAAAGAGAAAAAATTTTGCTATATGACCTTACTTACTTTTTCTGGCAGTGCTCCCAAGCCGCAGCGTCGAAGCATCGACAGTGTTCTTTCCTACTGTTGTGTTGCTATTTTGCGGGCAATCTGCACAAAACATTTTTTTTTTGCAAGCGTAAAGAGTGCTCAAGTCCGAAGTCCAACAGTTGTAAATGCACCTGCAAATTGACTATACTTTGGCACAACGTGATGCGACACTATCCAGTTTGCGAACGAAGCAATGCCCTCCAGTCGGATTTTTGACTCAACAATACTTTGCTCCCTGACTTCCACAAGGCGTCATTCTTGTCTTAAAATAATTATTGCCTGAGCGATCGAGAAGCTACACTGTGGCAAAAAGGTACGGAAAATTCTGTTGATTTTTTTGCCAAGATTTTCCGTAGCCCTCTTATTAATATTCTCCGAAGGACCTCCCAGTATCCCTCGTTAGACCTTACAGTATTCTTTGTAGAACTTCACAGCCTGCAAGGTCGTATGAAGATGTACGGAGAATACTGAAAAGATACGACGGAGCATTATTACAAGTTGTTTACAAAATTTTCGGTAGCTTTTTGCCACAGTGTACTCGATTACGGTTAAAATATGTGTCTGTCCCTTGCTCATCACGCACCAAAATTCAAAATACCCACTCCGTCAGATCAATCCAAAACACTAAAAAAAGGAAAAAAATACAACTTTTCAATTCCTTTAATTTTTCTGCCAAGATTTACAACGTTTCCTGTGATTTTGATTGCGCTGATGACGAAATTAAAAGCAATTTTGGCCTCCGACACGAAGAACCACAGCTAATTTCCGAGGACGCTTCGTAAACGCACAAAGACTCTTCGTAGATTAACGTACGAATCTTTGGTTATTTTTTTCCGGAGGAAGTTTCGTAAATTCCAATTTTATTTCTGACAGGGAGCAAGAGGCATACTTGATTCGGACACATACCCTCAATGTTCTGGCCGAAGGCGGGTTGAAAGAGGCACGCTACGAGAAGCAGGCCGACGGCAAAGAAAGCCATGATCGTGTACGCAATGGGCGGCCGTTCGCACCCAAGACTTGTTCCGCACTGAAGTCCCGACGCTCACGAACAGATCGCCGATAAGTCTCGCGCAGACCCGGCCGACTCTCCCCTTTGTGACCTCAGCGCGATAGTCTCGTTTGCCTGTTTGGTGCACGCGAAAAAAAGTACGAAGACAAACTAGCTGTATATAGCGTAGCTTAACTTCTGGACAGCCGGGGATAGGCACACCCCAGTGTAAAGGGGGCCAAAAATTTGAAATTTGGTGTCGGCTTTGCTTATTTTACAACATTTAATGTTGTCTGATGTTTTTTTTTAATTTTTATTGTACAACGGAAGGAAGGTTCCTCGAAGACTTCAAAGTTTCAAGACTGTTGCGAATAAAGAAAACAGTTGTCAGTCCGTCCGGTATGAAATAAATTATAATGGACGGGCATGTAGTATGATGTATGCTGTGCCCCCGGGGGGGGGGAGCAGTTTCGAGCGCTCCGTGCCGCTTTGAAGAAGGTAACGAATCTACAACACTAAGGTTCAAAATACAGAATGATTTATTTACAATGGTACACGCGTGAAGAAAAGAAGAAATGCAGTGCAACTCCATTACAAAAAGATAAGTGTCTCAATGCAACCTTATCAGCAAATTTATGGAAAAAATGTTACAACTGTTCCAGCTTCCGAGTAGTTTTTGGTTACAAAATTCGCCACAACTTTTTCAGTCGCATCATTTTAATTCTTGATGTGACTGGGGGTGCGAATAATCTCGTCAACTGGTTTCAGGTAATGTATTGGGGGTGGGGGAAACCACAGAATCGTTACAGTTTCACCTCTTAATTGGGAAGGGTTTGTACGTCTTAATGGTTTTATAAAACTAGACCCGTCATCAATCGTCCGGGAATTCGTTGTCGACTTCATCACCAGGAGGGCGGATGACACCGACACCTGCAGCACCTGCACCAGGGCACGCGGGCTTGCCCTGCACACCTTGATAGTAGCAACGACCCTGCCTCCAGCCAGGGCATGCCTTGTAACATTCAAGGTTTTGGCCTCCGCAGCAGTCTCCGAGTCCGCTTCCCTCGCACGGTTGGTCGTGAGATTTGCACGCCTCGGATCCTGGAAACAAAGAAACAGTCACAATAAGCAGACAGTTCTCAGGCTGTCCGACCAAGAGTCACACTTCCAGGAACGTGACATCACGTTGAAACGAACGTGACAAAATGTCACGTTCGTTTGAGCATTGTATCACATTTGTTTTAATGTGAACAAGGTGGTTTTTGGCCAATTCACACCCAAACGAATGTGATTCAATGCTCAAACGAACGTGACACTTTGTCACGTTCGTTTCAACGTGATGTCACGTTTCTAAGCGTGCGGCGGCTGACATGCGTGATTCGCTACGCCCGGTTATGCTAGACCTAATACACTGTAGCTGGCAATCCTAACCTTGACCTGCGGTCCTAGCTTGCGGAATAGGTTGGAGCGATAAGATGCAAACCGCAGATTGGACCGTTTTTGAAGCCTTTCTTTACGCATGAAACCCACGGGCCAGCACATTTGAGTGCTGAACACAGTGTCAAAAATATAAATCATCCCTTGGGAAAGTGCGCTTTTTTTGTGGAGAAAATACGTAAACGAACCTGCAAGCATGGTCGGTCATACCCCTCCACATGCCTTAGGAATGTTTCACACGAAATCTCGATATCAAATGGTTTGCGCGCTAGCTTCGGTGAAAAAGCCTGCTGCAGGACATTTCCAGGGTATGTACGCTCTCTGATATCGGCCATAAGTTGCGCCAACAAAGTTCATTGTGTTTATTCTCATATGCAAAGTTAGACTCTACTTTAACTGGTCATTTTACGACAGCCTTGTATATCTCTTACTGCAATGACCCACAACCTTAACTTGCATTTAAATAATTTCTTCTCGTGGGTGTCCAGTTAACGAGGAAAACAGTTACTGATACGTGTCTGCTTCGGTAGCGTCCGACAAGCGCGGATCCAGAGGAAAAGGGGGGGAGGACAATTGTCCCTTTCTTGACTATCAGATAGCGGCCTGAAAGGTGGGCAAAAAACAACACTTTGCCCCTTTAAGTGGGCAAAAAGGGCTACTTTGACCCCCACGTGACACATTATTTACAATACTCTTTCAGTTTCATCTGTATGTTGTTACGTGTAATGTATCATCTGCAAGAAACTGGATTAAATGATCCAGGAAGCGGAAGAAGGGGATAACTCAATTTTGGCCATTTTTCAGGAGAAACAAAAAACTGTTAGCAGGGAAAACTAAAACAAAACAAATGAATGTTGCATATGTTAATAATTTCAAAAAGCATTAGTAAAATTTTGAAAAAAAATCGAAAGTGTAAGGTCACTCCGTAGAGGATTTCTGCGACTTATCACTTTCCGTTGAAATGGAAAACAGAGTCAGCTCACCTTATATTTCCTAAACAAAGAGGAATTTGGAGACAAGTCAAGGGGAACAATAGTCTGCATAAAGTGTATGTTACTCTGGTGTATTTTTTGGACTTAGCTCTTTTTTCCAAATTGAAATTTAAAATTAAGGGGGGGTTAAGTTGAGTTGATTCTTTTTACACTAGATCCATAAAAACACAAGTTGAGTTATATCCTTTTGCCAATTTGTCGAACGGACTCATGTAGACTAAGGTTGAGTTATCTCCACTTTCCAATGAAATTTAGACTGTAAAAGGGGTTAAGTTGAGTTATACCCTTTTTCCATGTGGATTTTCTCCTAAACTGCTTGGAATTCAGTCAAATAATTTGGAGTAATGATGTAAACCATTCTAAGGCACAATAATAAAATAAAAACTCAATTTGGGGATAAGTCAAGTTATTCCCTTCTTCCGCTTCCTGGATCAAATGTCGATTCCACGAGGGCTGGTTTTGGCAATTCACCCTGCACCGTCATGCGATTTAAAACTTACCTAAAACGAAGACGGAAACCACGCAGATCCCAACGAGAAGGTAAAGACGAACCATCTGGAAGCAGAAGATAGCATGTGGGATAAGTATTTCTAGATAATGCCATAATAGGAGCGGTAAAACTGCCATATATGGCAGTTATATATAGCCATTCGACGCCCGTCCATCCACGCCATGTCAGCTCGGCGTCACTACACTGTTAGTCAGGGGTGCTCTGAAAGTTCGAGTCTATAGGCGCTTGCCGTAGGTTTTGTGCCGCCTTGAGTCGTCTCACCACGTAACGCCGAAAGCGAGAGGGAAATCACTCAAAAATCGGCCTACTCCGTATTACGTTCTATTACGCTTTGTTACGCAATTACAGAAGTCTTATTACGTTTGCATAAATCGAGATTTAGGCTTGAATCAGACCTTTATAAAGGAAAATTCAGAAAATTTTTGGCTATTACGCTACTATTGGTGACCTGACTATTACGCGAGTGATTTCCCCCTCGGCTGAAAGGCGCCTGGAAACAAAGCGCCTTCGGTGCTCTCTTCTGAAACACCTTCTTGGGCCCAAACGACTGCATGAGATAGCAATGCATGCATGGCTGCTAGACTTACTTGCAATCTCATGCAGTGGTTTGGGCCGAAGGTGTTTCAAAAGAGAGCGCCCAAGTGCTTTGATTTGATACGCCTTCTGGCGTTTCGTGGTGAGGCGACTCAAGGCGGCACACAAAACCTAAGGCAAGCGCCTGAAGGCGTTAACTTCCAGAGCACCCCAACATTACAGTGTACATACTTCGTCAATTTCAGTAATAATCTACTTTCACAAATGCAATTGTTTAATTGCTTATGCGTGCTTTTCGCATAGCTCCACACAAACTTAAATTCAAGAGAAAGGGCTTCACCACGCACCATTCTAGAGAGTTGTGACTGTCTAATAGTTTTAAACGGTTCAGAAAAACGGTTGACCCGCCATATAAACATATCTTTTAAAGATTTCGAACCCTCAATATGAAGCAAGAACATTTTTTTCCCAAAATCAGACTACTGTACAAATCGAAGAGTGTACATAGTATGCTCTAACTGGAGCATGCCTGCAAGGACGCTCTAGCTAGCGCATGCCTGCCAGGCATGCATTAACTAGTGCATACATGCCATGTACACGCCAACTGAAGCATGCATCTAGTGCATAAGGGATAGGAAATTGCCTGCATCAGGAAGCGTGAACATGGCATGTATGCACTAGTAAGTGCATGCTAGGCAGGCATGCGCTAACTAGAGCGTGCTTGCAGGCATGCTCCAGTTAGAGCATACAATGTACGCTTTTCGATTTGTAGAGTATATGGCTCAAGACACGTCGTCGCCAGCCATAGAAACATCTTTTAAAGATTTAGAACCCTATGTAATGTTTTAACAGGGAAGAACAATTTTTCCCCAAATTAGACTACAAACAAGTATATTGGCCATAATGGTACCTCACATGTACCATAGGAACACCAATCGCTGAGGTTCGTCGAAATCGGGCACCGCAGTGGTGTGCAACAAGTTGACTGAACAAGCTTGCTGAATGAACAAGCGGTTTACAAGTACAAGGTAGGTTTACGCCAGACCACGTCTTGTCGTAACAGGCTTCGCGATGTCTCGCGGCCTGTTCCTCCAATCCGCGCCTGGCGTACCTACCTTGGCCTGCGGCGCTAGCCTGTCTTCGGCAGACAATGTTTGTCCATCATCAGTTACTTCTAATTTGTTACATGCTGGGGGGCTCCGCCCCCCAGACCCCCCTTTCATCAAGACAGGAGAGATCTACCAACAGAAAACTCGATTTTTCGGCATTTTTAAGGTGTTTTTCGGCTACAAAAACTAAACTAGTTGAGCTAGGATACTGAAATTTCTCGTGTGCCGAGCCAAGAACATATCTGATAGGCCTGCAAAATCTCAGCCAGGTCGGCCGAGCCGTTCAGGAGGAGTAGTGTACACACACAGACAGACAGACAAACAGACAGACAGAAAAGTTTTTCAACCCCACTGGAGTAACAGGCTTCGCTATCGCTCAGCCAAAAATTCCTACTCGTTACCTACGCACCTTGGATATGACGGTAGGCGGAGTGATGCTAGAGAGGTTCTTCACTCGACTGTGGTCTG